ACAGACAGAAAGAGAGAGAGAGAGAAAGAAAGAGAGAATAAGAGAGAGGGAGGAGAGAGAGTGAAAGCGATTCAGTGTAACAGCTTTACTTTCTCTCGCGTCACTGCCCGCGACTACATAAAACCGGCAACACATCTTAAATCCACGGAGCGCACTGATGTCGGCAAAAATGCGCTCATGCGAGTGAACATTGTGCAGTCTGTTCACTTGTTTTCGATCAACCTCCCTGGCGTCTCTAATTGGACGCGGCGCGGTGGGGGGCACTGGCTGCACCGGTGCACGTGCTTTAAGATGCTACTGGACTAACCTGCCGTAGACGCAAAAATCGAGGAAAAACACGAGATTCGCGATCGCGCTCGCACGTCCATCCCGTCGCGCACACTGCAAAAGGCCGAATGGTGGCCAGTGGTCGTGCATACACAGCGCCCAAAGTATGTGTAATTATGTTGAAATATGCGCTCCAGTATCAGTTGTCAATGTGAGAGGGTACAGAAGAGGTTAGGAAGCACAGAAGCAATTTGTGTGTGTCAAGTAACTGGACGTGATGGCAGAGTAAGGCTTACTACCCTCAGGTTTAATACAACTAGACAACAGCCAATTCCAATACAGTAGCCTATCAGCGGTAGCGCACGAAGTTACCTGCTCGTTTCCTACTAAGTACGTGGCGAGATACGTGGTTTTTGTCGACGTGAAACAGTCGTGGCTGGAGGGGCTACATAGCGTGCGCTACTATACGCTACACACGTAATTTGGCTAGTTTGTTGGATGGATTGTGCGATGATGATTTTCGTGCTGAAATATGCAGAGTACATGGATTAGACGCTCTCCTAAGGATGAAGATCGCAATAGAATTATAAACCATAGTTTATTTTGTACATCCGTTCAATCTCTCTTTATTAATCTGTGTTGCTAGTGTTGGGTTGTTGATGAAGAAGAATGTAATCCTGGACGCAAGCCCCATCTGAATGAATCGAAGGTGAAGAAGAATGTAATCATGTGGTTGACAGTGACATCGCCACATTTTTCGGTTTTAGATTTCGACTCTCTAGACTGTGGTTTGGTCATGAATTCCATATCACACCCAAGAGGGCATTGATGGAGAGCCTCAAGGAGCTCTCCATCATCCTTTTAATGGTTGGTGATTATAGTGGACTCTTCGGATTCATGGCCTGCTTAAAGGTGGTGATTTTTAGTGGAGCTCTCCTATCTGGCCTCTTAAGGGTGTGTTTTTAGTGGAGACTCTCCATCATGCTCTTAAGGGGTGATTATGGGACGTGAACAAGTCGCCCTATGGTGTGGTCTAGGGTCAATTAGGTAGTCTCCTGTACTTTTCAAATCTGAAAGCCTGCGAGAAATCGACAACAAAAATCTTCTTCATGGTTGTTTCGTGGTGGTATGACTACATAAAAAAGCATAAAGATTTTGTTTGTATTAAGGTCGCAGCCACCAGGTCTGCACCTCACACTGTCGGCATGGCAACCTGCCCACCCACGGCGCCCCCTTGTGGCGGAAGACGTCACACGCTGGCCTGCGCACACAACAGGTCAAAGGTGAAAGGTCGCGACCGTGCTTACGTGGTGACGTCATGGCAGTAGGAGACCATGTTGTAGAAGTTCGTGAGGCCGGTGTGTCCGTGAACACATCACGCTCTGTCGGAACATGTCGGCGAAGCGGAAGTACAGGATGCAGTCTGACGGTTGATTGTCCCGCCCTGGAACGAACAACGGAACAATGGGAACAACACTGTTGACATCATGAACAACGCAGCTGACGTCATGGTTAATGTTAGAGCTGATAATATAATTAATAACAGAGCTAACATCACAGTTAATATCAGAACCTAAAAAAAAGATTTAAAAACAACAGCACAGCTAATGACTAGCAGCTAACAACAGACCTGACACAGCAAATGCAATAACAAACAATACAGCTTACAAGGTTAATGACACAGTAAATGCAATAACAAACAATGACAGCTTAGCAGAGGTAAATTGACAGCGTAGCAAATGCAATAACAAACAATACAGCTTACAAGGTTAATGACACAGCAAATGCAATAACAAACAATACAGCTTACAAGGTTAATGACACAGCAAATGCAATAACAAACAATACAGCTTACAAGGTTAATGACACAGCAAATGCAATAACAAACAATACAGCTTACAAGGTTAATGACACAGCAAATGACAACCACATACGACACAGTGAGATATTCGGCGACACTTCCCACACGTCGTCATGCAACGATCTAAAAATTTAATTAGTATTTTTAATCGCTTTCATACTGCTGCTACTGCTGCTGCTGCTGCTGGCTGGCTGCTACTGCTGCTGCTACTTGCTGCTGCTTGCTATACTGCTGCTGCTATGCTCTGCGCTGCCGGCTGCTACTGCTGCTACTGCTGCTGCTGCCGGCTGCTGCTGGCCGGCTACTGCTGCTGCTACCTGCTACTGCTGCTACTATCTGCTACTGCTGCTACTGCTGCTGCACTGCTGGCTGCTGGCCGCTGCTGCTGCTGCCGCTGCTGCTGGCTGTCGTGCTACTGGCTGCTACTGCGCTCTTGGCTGCTGCTGCGCCGCTGCTGCTGCTGCTGCTGCTGCTGGCTGCCGCTGCTTGCTGCTGCGCTGCACTGGGCTGCTGCTGCTGGCGCTGCTTGCTGCTACTGCTACTGTGCTACTGCTGCCTTGCTGCTGCTGGCTGCTGCTACTGCGTGCTGCTACTACTGCGGCCACTGCTAATGCTGGCGCTGCTACTGCTACTGCTAGCTGCTCCTGCCTGCTGCGCTGCTGCTGCTGCGCTGCTGGTTGCGCCGCTGCTGGCCCGTGCTGCGCTGCTGCCCTGCTGCGCTGTGCCGCTGCTAGCCGCTCGCGCCGCTGCTGCGCTGCTGCTTTTCTGCCTGCTGCTACTGCACTGCCCGCTACTGGCTCCTGCGGTGCGCTGCTGCGCTGCTGCCGCTGCTGCGCTGCGCTGTTGCGCCCTCGGGCGCCGCGCCGCCCAGCCGCTGCCGCCGCTGCGGCCGCTGTGCGCTGCCTGCTGTTGCTGCGTCCGTCACTGAAGATGGTAAATTACACCTTGCTCGCATATTGGCATGTACACCACGCAGCGGGACTGCCGGTACGCGCCGCGACGACGGACGCACGGCACGCGACGCGGCATCGATTAAAAATCCGTCTTCATCGGCGTGCTCATAATTTAATTAATTACTCATTCTTACCTAGGCGCTCATGTTAGTTTACAATCTGCATTTGTTTTGTTCTTTCGCGAACCCTCCCCCTCTTCCCCTCCCTCGCCGCTCCTTTACCAAAACCCTTCCTTTCCCTTCCACTGCCCCTAGTCTCCCCTATTCTACCCTGCCGCCCCTGTAACCCGCGCCTCGCCTCCACCTGCCGCCCCCGGTGCGACCGAATTGTCGCGTTGAATCTTTATTCGTTGTAGATGGATGCATATCGCATGACGCGTTGTCGTCAGCGGTAACCGCTGGGGCAGAAATCTCGTTATCAATGCTTGTAAGGAACTCGCTCTGAGCGGAGGTTTTACAAGCTGGCAGACGGAGAAGGCAGACGGAATGACTACAGCTACGGAGGAGGGAGGGAGGAGGAAACTACAGCTACGTGGGGGAGGAGGGAGGAGGGAGGAAGGAGGAGGAGGAGGGAGGAAGGGAGGAGTAGGGAGGAGGGAGGGAGGGAGAAGGAGACGAGGAGGGAGTTCGGAGGAGGAGGGAGGGAGGGAGGGAGGGAGTGAGGAAGGGAGGGAGGGAGGGAGAGATAGGGAGGGTGCTACATTGCAGGAGGAACTCTCGCGATTTCGCTCTGAATTCGTCACACAACCCGTCGCCGATGAGTCGAAATCACGTTAGGGAGAATGCGGCACGTGATTGGTCGATATGGGGTCACGAGGTCGGCACCCGGCCGCCGGCGATAGAGACGCGACGATGACAGATGACGTCACAGCGAACAACGCCGAGGCAATCATTTCCATCTCAATACACCGATTACCGCTGCAATCACTGTGAATCTCCTCCTCCTCCTCATTTCACTCCTCCTCCCCTCCAGCCCACCCCTCTCGATCCCTCTCCCCCCATTCCCCTACACCTAATCCCTCCTCCTCCTCCTCCTCCTCTATCTCGTCCCCCTCCTCCCCCTCATTCCTCATCCCCCAATTCTCCTTACACCCCTCCTNCCTCTCGATCCCTCTCCCCCCACTTCCCCTACCACCTAATCCCTCCTCCTCCTCCTCCTCCTCTATTATCCACCTTTTTACTCTCCTCGTCCCCCTCCTCCCCCTCATTCCTCATCCCCCAATTCTCCTTACACCCCTCCTCCCACTTCCCCTCCTCCTCCCGGGTCTCCATCATGATCGGACACTACGGGCGGCGGGGGAGGGGAAAGGCGTGGTTAACACAGCATATCATTAAATACACGCGCATGGAGGGCAGGGGGGAGCCTGCGTGAAGAGAGAGTGAGAGAGAGAGAGAGAGAGAG